AACAAAGTGTTGCATGCACAAGTAAATGTTTCAGAAAAAGAACTGTACACAGCATAGAATGCAATATAAATATAAGATATAGATATAGCTAAAAGCATATATGCAACTGCATATATGCAGCATAAGGTGGCTGTGCTTTTTACAAAACAACACCCCGTTTCAAAAGGACACAGCAGAATAATTTGGACTGCCATGTTCCCCTCCCCTGACATGAAGTCCAGAAAGATAATCAATAAACATTTCTTGGTAGAAGCTATCTTTAGTTCTCCTTGGAGTCAAGCATAAGGAATTTGTTGACATCTGCTTGGTCTTTTGTCGAGCAATTGACATAAGTTCTTGGAATTTGTAAATTGCATTTGTTTCAGGAAAAAAAAAAAGCTAAATAAATAACAACATATTCGAAGAAACAGAGTGCTAATTCATAAGACCAATTTGATGCAATGTTATGGAATGAGGCAACCTCTGAGTATGTCTGCCATTGTGCGTCTCCCTAGCTGTGGCCACGGCCGAGTGTGATAACATGCCAGGACAAATTCCGGATCCCTCGGTGACAGCAGGTTCCCTGCCCAGTCTGGGCCCTCTGGCTGGCATTTCGGCCACCACGCTGACCGACACGCTCAAGTTTGGTGAGCTCCATGAGTTCAAGGCGATGCTGTCGCCCCTGCACTTCATCGGCAGCCTGGGAAAGAGGCCTCTTGTCATCAAAACAGAGGTACTGTGTGTCCACGAGAGAATAACACTTAACACCGAACACTTTTTACAAAATGCTGCAAGTAGGGGTGGAACAAAAAACGTATTAAATCGGAGAATCTGTTTTGATTTGACGAACTGAATCGAATCGTTCCGGTTTCAAATCATTGCCTCCTTGAATCGTATTGCACCCCATGTATTGATATACATATTGAAGCGTCTTTTGAGAGATGCACACCAGATGATTTGACGTTTCTGATGATTTGTTGTTTCTTTGAATTTAATTACCTTAGAGAGTGTCTACTGGTTAGCGTGTGTGTGTGTGCATTTCAGTAGTAGGTTGTTTAAGTGCTTAAATTATTTGCGTCACGGTGATCAACTGGTTAGCACGTCCGACACACAGTGCAGAGGTCCACGGTTCGATTCCGGGCTTCAGCCTTCCTGAGTGGAGTTTGCATGTTCTCCTCGTACCTGTTTGGGTTTTCTCCGGGTACTCCGGTTTCCTCCCATGTTCCAAAAACATGCGTAGCAGGTTAATGAAACACTCTAAATTGCCCCTAGGTGTGAGTGTGAGTGCAGTGTTCGTCTATGTGTGCCCTGCCATTGGCTTTCAACCAGTTCAGGGTGTACACCGTCTACTGCCCAAAGACGGCTGGGATAGGCTCCAGCGCACCTGCGACCCTTGTAAGGATGTAAGGGTTTGGATAATAGATGGGTGGAGTTAATTTATTTCAGGAGGTTTATTGAAAAAAAAATGACCTGTTCAGGACATATCGAGACTGATTCTGTATTCTAATGCACAAAACCTTTGAAGAACTATTACTTTGTACCCTTTATAATACTGATAATAGTAGATTCTGTGCATTCAAGAACTTTCATCTGAAAAGGGACCGTATATTGCAAGGCTTTTGAAACGTAATGTTATTCCAATGTGCACTTACAGAAGGAAAACGGTTGTCCCCAACATTTGTGCATACCCTTTCTCTTTTTAGAGGGATGACGAGGACGATAGAAGGAAACGAAGGCGAGAGAAAAACAAGGTGGCTGCAGCACGATGTCGAAACAAGAAGAAAGAGAGGACGGATTATCTACAAAAGGTGGGATCTTTTTTTTTTTTTTTTTCAGTTTTCCATCCTGATCTTCAGCTTGCTCCTTGTAGCCCTTTTCATAACGTTTGCACCAATAGGCACCAGTGCATTTCTGGGTGGCGGAAAGTGATTGACTACAGTTCATCTAAACTGAAGATGATGACAAAAGGGTTTTGTTTGAATAAATTGAGTAGATGTTGTAGTTATACTCTCAGATGAACGTTACTGTCAAACTAAACATAAAACAGAGAATTTGCGCACATGTATGTAAAACAACCATATAACGTCCGCTACCTTAATGCTAACACACAATGGGAAACTCTCCAGGCACACGGGCTAAAAATTAACATCCGTTCAGCGGTGTTGTTAACCTTTTAGATAACGGGACACTGAACTGGACACTGATCACAAAGGGTGCCGCCGCATATAACATAACAATATTCAGATGCCTATATTCTTTATCCTCTGCAAATATCATTTAATATTACTGCCATAATGAGAGACTGAGAGTAGAGCTGATTCTCCAGTACAGTTCTGTTATCCGTACGGCCGCTGCTGTATACAAACAGAGTCTGGCCAACGTGCTCTACAGGCCTCATTTTGTAGCCCAGCCTGCGTGAAGCACGCCATGCAACAGTACACGCATCACGCCATGCAACAGTACACGCATCACGCCATGCAACAGTACACGCATGCTGCCTTATCCAGTGCGTGTTTCTTTCCTATGCTTTATATCAGCGGAATTTCCTCATAAAAATTGTTCTACATATTTGGAAGGCAATCTTGCCGCTGGTTTACTTATTTTTCCGATGTAAACAAATGGGCCGGGGCTGAGGGGTCATAAAGGGCAGTGGACAGCGCCATACAGGGAGAAGATTGATGCCCACGTGTGTTTCTGGCATTATTTTATTCAGGAAGACCTCGAACGAATAGCGAATTTTGATAGTATTCTTTTGAGTGACCCTACAAGAAGTAAATTACTGGTACAATCACTTTACAAATAAATTATAAATTGTACAGCACTTTCCTTGCACTGATCTGAGAAACGGGCTCCTGTGCGGAAGGGACCGACACAGTTGGGTGTGTCGGTCGTAAATTTAAAAAATACCTTATCTGCTCAGACCATTGTTTTCAATATTCTCAAAATGACTTTGAAGGAATCTGTTCAAAGAATTGGAGTGCAGGACGCTCTAGATTATTAACTTTATTAGCTTTGTCCACACCTTTTATGAAATGGGTGAAATAATAGTTGCTTCTTGTGGGCAAACATAAAACGCATCGCACAAGGGGGTTATGTGGTGACCACTGGACAATTGAAACAAATATGTCTAGCTAAACTAACTCCTATGCCTTGTCTAACTATTTTTATTAATTGCTTCTTACTTACATCAGCGAGACTAGGAATTGTCATTCGGTTTCCAACCATCCTGGTGATGCACTCTCTGCCCATAGGCATGCGGGCAAATCTGTGGAGCTTCACACCTTTGCTGCCTCGCTTGTGATGTTCCAGTTTTTGTTCAATGTCCTGTTGATATGCAAATGACTCATTTGGAAGCAATTTACCCCTTGTAACATCTTATTTATGATTGTCACTTCACACATTTTAGCCAGAAAAATAGGCTGAAATCTTTATTCAAGTTCACCGGTCACTCTGTTTTGGTCTCATCATGACCTGCCACTCTGACCCTGAACTTCCTGCCTTCCTTCTCCCACAGGAGTCGGAAAGATTAGCGATGTTAAACTCGGGCCTGAAAGCCCAGATCGAGGAGCTGAAACTTGAACGCCAGCAGCTGATCCACATGCTTAACCGCCATCGCCCCACCTGCATCGTCCGGACGGACAGTGTCCAGACGCCCGAGAGCGAAGTGAACCCGCTGCTGCAGCAGCAGCTGGAGACCGAGTGAAGTCGCACTGATGTTCTGCAGTAACACGAGACAACGACCAGCACTTGGCTATAAGCTGTAAGATGGGGGAGAAGCAGCTGAACCGACAGGATGTTGCGCCACAAGATGTGAATTAGTCACGAGTGTGGCACTTAAAACAAACTATTGTTTAAACTCTCTCCTTTGTTACTTTGTTACCCGAGCCCTGAGCATCTGTGGTGTTATTTTTGGTCGGCAGCAAGTGACAAAATGGCCACCACCTGAGAAGGATTAAAAACTGGTGAATTTTGCTGGTTAATTCATATTCTACAAACACGATATTAATCAGGATGCCGTGTTTAGACTAGTGGGGGCGCGTAGGACATATTGTCAAAGAAAACTTTTGAGTAGACGTCCCCTTTAATGCCATACATTTAGTAGCTTGTCTTGTCTGTAATCTCTCTCCCATATTTTGACGCAGGCGTCATTTATTCATGTATTTTACATATTAAATATGTACTGTTGACATTGTATCGTATATCGACTATGGCTGTTACCAACATTTTGTATGTATAATTTTGTACTTTTTTATGATAATGAAGTGAAATGCAATTTGTATCATTTCAAGAAATACCTTTTTTTTTTTTAATGGTCGTTTATTCTGCTTGGTGAATGTATTGGTCTCCTTGTGGCAGACACTTACGTCGAGTGACTGGATAGAGGAAGACCCAACCACCCAGACTCACTATTCTTATTTTTAAGAATAAAATGACACATATTGTTGCACATCAGTTTAAAAACAAAACGCTGTCATTATGTCATTAAACATGTATACTACTGGCAAGAATGTAATGGTATTCATGCTGAAAATTGGAATAATGCGTTTACCAGATTATTAGGACTGGGCGAATTTTGGTGCCAAAACAACACATTAGATTTTTAAAACGAACAGATGGGACAGTTATTTGGTAAAGGTGGTTAAAATAAGATCTTAGATTTGTAAAATTGTTCATTTTATAAATATTTTGTTCTTGCGATGTAGTTGATTAGAAATAATGTCATTATAATTAATGAACCATAAAAAATACAGTACTTTTATGTGCAAAAAATGCATTTGGCACCTGGCATTTTTCTGCATAGGCATGTCATATTTTACGTTTTGTTTACTCTTCTAATGCCAATTGTAGGTTTTTTGTCAAAGGGTTTGTTTTTCTGCATTGCACTAAGTTGACCACCAGGTAGAGCAACAACACTAGATGTGTTTCTCGTGCACGAGAAGATGCTTGATGGGATACATGTGATCTTAAACCCCCCTGCAGTTCTATCGTTTCGGCTCATTCTAGTTTCTTATCTCGGCAGCAGATGACGTGTAACGAGTCTCTGATTTCTTGCCTGAATTTCTCAGTCAGCTCACAAGCTCAGTGACGCTCTGGAAAGTTGGTGGGCACAGGTTGGATTCCAATTGATTTTACTTTTCACAGTTTTATTTTGTATAGAGTAAACAATATGGGGGATAGTAACATAAATCTGGCGGAGGTCGGTCCTCCCGTGGAATCGAAATGTTCAAATGAGCGAGCGCAGTCCTGCAGCATCCCGAACGGCGAGAATGGTCCTGCTCCCACGACTCGCCTGTACGTGAAGCGCTGGGCGATCGTTTTCCTGTTCAGCTCGTACTCGCTGAGCAACGCGTACCAGTGGATCCAGTACGGCATCATCAGCAACATCATCGTCAAGTTCTACAGGGTGGATGAGTTCACCGTGGACTGGCTGTCCATGGTCTACATGATCACATACGTCCCCTTCATCTTCCCCGCCACCTGGTTGCTGGACCAGAAGGGTTTGCGCGTCACTGCGCTGCTAGCCAACGCGCTCAACTGCGTGGGAACGTGGACTAAAGTGGCCAGCGTCCAGCCCAGCCTCTTCTGGGTCACTATGCTGGGCCAGTTGGCGAGCTCCCTGGCTCAAGTGTTCATCCTCGGGATACCTTCGCGTTTGGCTTCGGTGTGGTTCGGCGCGGATGAGGTCTCCACCGCCTGCTCCATTGGAGTCTTTGGGAATCAGGTGAGCTCTGGTTTGAGCCTCCAGTAAGTCACATCCGTGGTTCTTTGTGATCTATCACAAAAACTCATTATTTTATTGCATTGTCGGAATAATGCACGTTTTAAAATACTGTATTCTTTTTGGCTGCAGCAGTCCTAGAAGTTTTAACAACTAAGTTAAGGACACTCAATTGTTTTGTGTTGAAAAACACTTGCGTAGCTGTCCAAGTGTCATTATCATGAACAGTCTTAAAACACAGAAAAATGTTTTATTCCTATCAGAAGTACGTGACAGGTCAACTCATTTACAATGCATTGTAACATCTGTTTTGTACAAGCTTTTATAGGCCAAACTTAAACAAATTGAAAAGGATTTTAGGGTTACATAAAGTCATCTCTGATTAAAATTTGCTGGCGTGTAATGGTGCCACCAGAGTGCTTCCATGGAGGTCATACAATTTCCATATCGGGGCAGTAAAGTCAAGCAGTTAAGATGGTTGCCTGCCACTGTGGGGGAATCTGGTTCAAGACCGAATCCATACTTAAACTGTCCGGCTATTTCTGCATGCGGTTGTTCACAAACAGGCAAACCTTACCCAACCTTTGCGTGTGAATGACTGAGCAATTAAGGGAAGCTCCTTTTATAGACAATCCTGGCATCCACCTGTTCCCGGTTAGTCTGTTCACCTGTGGGATGTCTTTTTTTCCCACCTGTCCCAGATATTTTGGAATGTGTTGTGGCCTTAACATTCTATATTAATGATTATTTGCTAAAAACAATAACGTATATTTGTTTGAACATTTTATATATTGCATCTGCTGTGCACTCGGTTAAATATAGGCAGAATAGGATTTGAAAATCATTGGATTCTGTTTTTTTTTTCATTATTAAAAGAGCACCTCGACTTCAGTGGAATTGGGTTTGTGTATGTCTGTATATCTATCTATCTATCTATCTATCTATCTATCTATCTATCTATCTATCTATCTATCTATCTATCTATCTATCTATCTATCTATCGATCAAACAGTTTTTCTTCACAACAGTATGTCATTAACTCAACCAACAAGGAGATATAAGTAATATTAAATACTAAACCGTAGTTAAAAACATTTCTTTTAGGTTTGGCGGTCAAATGGGAAATGACGTGTTCATGTTTGCACAAGGTCGACATCTTGTGCCTACTTTGTGTAGTTGTACTGTATATAAGGGTAAAAGAAAGAATACTGGCGCTCAAGGTAGGCTAACTTTCATCGATTTGATTTGAATATTTGCGGTGTTTTAAGTGCAACCCTTTACACTTTATCCCGGCTAAGGTGTTTATAGAGCTCGTCTATCCTCTACATTTTTCGCCATTTGCAACATTTGCAGGAAGCTTGGAGGTACAGTAAGACAGCTGAAATGGCAAGCTTTAAAGAGCAAAAGAAGCCGGCACAAGGTTAATGAGCAGTATTTAGTGAATCCTCAAAAAAGTAAGCTTTGGCTGGCCGGCGAAGAAGCTATGATCCGTCAAACTTTATAACGGTACTTCGCTAACTTGGTGGCGTGACTGTGAATGCAGTCGTAGTGTAAAGTATCAACATGGTCACAAGAAACTGATGCTCCCCCATCAGACTGACAGAGTGGTCGTCATCAAAAAAACTACTGTAAAATATATTTCCTTAAAATCAAAAGCACACTTTGTGACTCCAACATTGCATGTATCACAGTAGAGAATAGTGTGCGTGAACCTGCGTGCCATAAAAAAAAAAAGGCTCATTTGATGAGCGCCAAATAACGACAAATCATTATTTGTTCAATACGCACATTTACGCAACGTACCGGTCAGACCAGAAACCACGTCCTGCTTTTTACAGGCCATTTTCGGTTTACGACGGAATTCGGTTCCTACGATAGCGACGTAACTCGAATTTGTCCGTCACGCCCAGCAGTCTTTAACCTACTATAGTGAATGAAAAACACTTCTAGGCCATACATACGATACAGTCAAATAAAAGACAAAACAAAATGAAAAGCACACAACAGGCGGAATAAAAGCTCAGCACTTATGCCACATAATTCCGAGGTCTTGGTGTGGGTTCTCCCCTTGTACCAACATTCCAAAACCATGCATTACTACGTTTTCCATCACTGTGCATTCTTTTTTTTGTCTGCAAGGTACCTTGCAATTGATTGGCGACTAATCGAAGGTGTACCCAGCATCTATCAAAGTAAACTGGGACTGGCTCCACTCACCCCACCTGTGACCCTAATGAGATGTTAGAGAAAATAGAGAGATGGATATTGTAATTCCTCAGATAATAGGTTTTATCGACATGAATGGCTTTTATTTCCTTAAAAAAAAATCCCTTTTCTGGAAAGCACTGCACTACATAAATGGTTTGGTCATGTAAGTTAGGTTTATGCTAAAATAAAGGCAAATGAATCATGAATTAATATGACACCAGTGTCCGACATGGAGTAGGACCGGACGATTATGGAAATAATAATACTCACAATAATTTACCCCCAAACTACCATCACAACCTTGTAAATATCATGTGGAAGCCTCTTGCATTTTCATTCTGCTTCATCCACACCTTTGATGCTTTGCAACTTTGCACACATTCAAACCATGAATAAGTAAAGAAAGAAAAAAAAAGACATAAGAGGGATCGTTTATCGCTTAAGCATATTTATTCTATCTTAGGTTATTGTTGTATCTTTATTTTCACAAGTCTTGAGACTTACTGGCCTAACCGGAGCTTGGGTATTGTATTTTGGTGCCATACTATGTAGAAACATTTGTTTTTACAGTATAGCAAAAAAGTCCTTCGATTTTTGTATCTTTGAATTGTGAGGGAAGTAAAATTTCTAGAATCCATGAAAACTCAACTTTAAATATAACTTGAAAGAACAACGAGAAAATAGATTAATGACAAGGTAAAGTAGGAATTTACTAGAATAATACCAATAAAAAGCAGTAAATAAAAAAGTAAAGATAACTGATGGATGGAAATACTGCTGTTCCTGCCCTGTGCGTTGGCCTCTAATTTGTCTGCTTAGGGACAACAGAATCACAAGCTTCATCACAGGTGTCAAACTCAAGGCCCGAGGGCCAGATTCAGCCCACCAAATCATTTTATGTGGCCTGAAAAACTAATCATGTCTGTTAACTTTCATGATCCTTGCTAAAATCTGTATCGAAAATGTCAAATTGTTATGTGTATTAAATAGCATTGACATTTTGCAAAAATTAAACATTAAACATTTATTTGGTTTCACTGTCATAACAGCCCTCCGAGGGAAGACGTAACTCCAAAGTGGCCTGGGACAAGAATAGGTTTGACACCCCTGTGTTACACGCTTGCTCTGCAAGCAACACGATGCATTCAGGTTCCAATTCCAGCGTCAGGAATGCAACATTAGTCAGAAAACTGTTTGGACAATGAGGGGCATGTAGGACATATTCAAAAGACATTTTGGACTTGTCTACCGTTTCAATGTATTTTTCTCCCTTTCATTATTTTTACTTTTGTACTTGAAGTAGTTCTGAAACCATTACCAGTAGTTTTATACACTTACTTAAGCAAAACGCTTGACCTTATACTTCAACTTCTACTGAAGTCCTCCATCCATCCATTTCCAACACCACTGATGCAGGGTCGCGGGGAGTTGCCGGGGCCTCTCCCAGCTGACTTCAGGCGGAAGGCAGACTACACCCTGAACTAGTCGCCAGTCAGATGTTGGGCACATATAAAGACAAACAACCTTTCACACCCACATCCACACCATCACTCAGTGGGAGCGATCCCACGCTGCCTGCACACTAGTAAGGCAGGTGAAGTCCTATTAAGTCCTAATGTCTATACTTCTACTTCAATAATGAGCGCAAATACTTGACGCCACTGATTTTAGTGAGTTTGCCATTTGAGGAAATGTGGTACTGTATGTCAGACCCTATTTGAGATGTATCCATTACTTCTTGCGTTTATAGTGTGTCTGGCCACACCCTCTTACATTGGGGGATGACCAGGGAATCGTTAGGTTTATAGTATTAAATCACCACGACTTCAAACTCGCTACGGAAGACCAATGAACATCCAAAGCAACTCTCTGTTTATTTTCAGTCAGGCCTGTAATCCAGCTAATATCTTGGTCAAAACTGAAGTTTAATACAGAAAACATTGTTTGATCATTCTTTAGAGGCAAAGTGTCGAACCTGTAGATCAACATGATAAACTCGTTTTATAATGACATGTGTACTCAGTGCTGTCAATATTCAGTACTTTTTTGTTTTCTTTACGGGTAGGGATTACAATTTGAATATCATTTTTGCAAAATGAGGTGAATAATCTTGATGTGCACTCCCTCCCTTGTGACTTTATGAGTTAGTAGCCAATCCTCCTGTTTGGCAGAATTAATTTCCGAGAAGCGACTAATCGTCCAATTAATTTCAAACATATTTAATTAATAAAATCACTTATTTTTGGGCTCCTTATCACTCGCAACAATACGGATATAAATTACAGGCAGAACATTTAACTGTTTTACAATATTGTCCTCAAAGTATTTGTCAAACTTTACAGACAGAGGGAGTTTGTGTGTGTGTGTGTGTGTGTGTGTGTGTGTGTGTGTGTGTGTGTGTGTGTGTGTGTGTGTTTGGTGGGGGTGGTGATATTTGAAAGGCATGATTTTTATCTTACATTGTAATATGTTAATGTGTAAAAAAACACCACAAAAATCTCCAACAACAAAACCCATCTGATTTAAAAAGAGCTAACTAATATCGATTAAATCGTCCGGCAGATTAATCGATCTGCACTAATTATGACCTTAATGAAACTCCAACAAACTTGAACAAGAAACAAGGTAGTTTAGACTTTGACCTTTCCCTTCACTTTTAACTGTCCATATTCTGATGAACTTGCAGTATGGGTCATCCTCTATCTGCAAATGTCATGTGCTATATATGTTTTAGCAACACATTCAACTGAACTCCCAGACAAGTCCAACAGTGTGTGAGTGATGCAACTGAAAAGGAGGAGTCTGAGGTGTCCAATAACAGTCACTTAAAAAGGAAAAATTTACTTGATCAAAGAGGTGGAATCATGCCAGCTTTGACACTGTAGCCAGGTAGCCCGCTTTCCAGCGCTACTCGTTGAAGACTCAACCTAGGGTCGTGGGTGAGCCGGAGCCTGTCTCAGTGGACTTTGAGTGAGAAGATATTCAACCTACCAAGAATTACCCGTTTAAAGTTAGCAAAGGAAACAAGCAGTCAAGTTAATTTGGTGGCCAACTTTTTCCATCTGGAGGAAAAAAGTGCTGTACCTGCTGATTGCGAATCCACCGTCAGGTAACCGGTCGCTGTGTTTACACACACAAGGAGAACTGTTTGCTTTTCTCTCCAGCTGAACGCGGAGGCCTGAAAAGAGGAGGGGCGCAACATGAGCAGTCAGGAAGAACACCATCATGACTGGGTGGACAGCCATGATGGATCTTCCCTCATATCGGACTCATCCGTCCAGGAAATTGCGCAACTCTTCCCACTCATGGAGACTAAACTGTACAAGCGGCGTTGGGTCATGCTCTTCATCTTTTGGAGCTATTCCATGAGCAACGGCATGATGTGGATGCAATATGGCATCATCAGCAACATCTTCAAGCACTTTTATGGTGTTGACGAGCTGTCCATCAACTGGCTCTCTATGATTTATTGCTTTACCTACATCCTTCTCATCGCGCCTGTAATGTGGCTTCTGGACAACCGAGGCCTCAGGGAAGTTGTCGTGGTGGGCTCCGCCTTCAATTGCATAGGCGCTTGGATCAAAACGAGCACGGCTCACCCCGACTCGTTTGCTGTAACCTTCCTCGGCCAGTTTGTGTGCTCAGTGGCGAATGTTTACATCCTCGGCGTCCCATCCAAACTTGCTTCTCTGTGGTTTGGACAACAGGAGGTGTCCACGGCCTGTTCCATTGGCGTTGTGGGAAACCAGGTGTGTTCAGGTTCGCCTGTTTGACTGTTGGGCTTCAACAACAATGGTGGAGTGGGGATGGTGTTGAAGAGGGGACGGGGCGGTGTGGAAATAATTTGTAAGACAACTCGTCACTGAATCATATCAGTTAGTGGTTTCATCTGAAGCATGTCAGAAGACAGGCAGAAAGGTTAATCATTGTTTTCCAAAGTAAAAGCAGATTTCTTTTTTCCAAAAGTTAAACGTAAAGATCAGTCCATTTTCATGCCAGCCAATACAAAATTGAGAATGTTTCTGTTTAACGGCGGAAATTCCGAGCATTTGGACAATTTTAAGTTAAACAAGATCTGTAAATGATTCATCAATGATCAAAACAGTTGCAGATTGGTTTGATAATCAACGAGTTGTCGATAAATCATTTGTTGTACCTTTTGTAACCGTCACACATGATGGGACTATTTTGAACATATATTTTAAAAATAATTTATAATTAATCTTCAATACTATAAGTCCAAGACACTTCGCATTGATGTTGGTCCTACTTCATGGATATTGACCCCCGCTGTACTCCTGTTTCTGACCATATATGTATAGACATGTTGTTCAAATAAATGGAAATCCTCAAAAGATGCCAAAGCCAAATGGTGTTTGAAGTAATGGCCCGCCTTAACTGTGTAGACCAAACAATGTGTACCGGTTATTGTCATGCATATTTTTGTTTTTTGACTTCGTCTCACAGCCTGCTGCGATGGATGAAAGGATGCATTGTCATCGACATCCACCTACACACTGTGACATTATGTGTTTGGTTCCGTCCTATATGCAGTATGAAATGACCACACAAAAAAGGAATTTATACATCCATCTGAAATGTTTTGAGTGAAAAAAGTGCAAGAAAAGCAAGAAAAAAGTGGACTGGCAATATCCATATCCATGCTTTGACGATGAACAGGGTCCACGCCAAAAAAAACTTGGGCCAAGTGGAATTTAGTTGAGAATGAATTAATTATGTATGGCAATTTATAAGCAAAACATGCTGCAGTGCTGCAATAAATCCACTCACATGTTTTTTGTATTTGTCTCTCATTATGAGGTTTTCAATTTTTCAAACCATGCTTTCGGACTGTAGCGGTTCAATAAAGATACTTTTCTTCACACATTGTGTTTAGATGCAATGGTAAAAAAATGGGAGATTCTAGAATATTATTCAAGAGGTGAGAAATGCTCAAACCTTGGTGGAGATTTGCCTTCTCTTAAGTATTTTATTTTATTTTTTTAATGTGTCGCTTCTCGCCTGCAGATGGGCATTGCTATTGGGTTTCTGATCCCCCCTATCCTCGTGCCTAACATAGACGATGTGGAGGAGCTGGCACACCACATTAAGATCATGTTCTACATCAGCGCTGGTGTGGCCACCATCATTTTCATCCTTGTGATCATTGGTAAGTCCTCAATAGAAGACTCAGTCAAGGCTCAGCAATTGGGCAAGACATTTCCAGGATTTTTGCTCAGTAATGCAATTAATGTCAATTTCAATGGTCATGTTGGGAATTACAACAAAGTATTCTCCTTAAGCCTTTTGTACAATAATACTGTTGGGTTTAATCCGCGGTGCTCCTCAGGCAATACTGCCCACTGCCCAATGCTGCAGTAATTGAATCGTGCATTTGATGGATGTGTTCTGACACAATGTTAAACACAAGCAGGGTCTCCAATTATGTAACTGTTGTATGAACTTGAACTTCCCACTCAAACTCAGTGAAGATCTTGGAAGTCCATGACAGTCAGGGACTCACTGCAAAGCCTCACCACTGACCTTGTTTATTTTAGTTTTAAAACTAATTCAAGAGGTACTGTAGTCGGTCACATGGCTAAGCAGGATGGACCAGTTTTAAAGATCACTTTGGTTAAACTTAATTATAAATTGCCTGACTTTTATTTGAAGTGATATTTGTGGTGTTTACCAGATTAAGTCATCCGGCTCCCCTTGTGATCCTGTTTTTACTCATTTCTTTAAGGAGGCGCTCCTGGAATTTGGTCAATCAGTTTTGGCCATTCTCAATCCCAGTCTGTATTCTGCTGTAGTCCCCAATATTTTAAATATGCTGTGGTGAAACCTCTGCTTAACAAACCAAGGTGGGCTGTTGAATTTTTGGCCCACTTCCAAGCAACTTTTTATTTCAAAAATTCTGGAAAATGTGGTGCATACGCAGTTGAAATCTTTTTTGGCTGAACATAACGACACAGAAGTTTCCCAGTCAGCACAGAGTCAGCGCTGTTACAAGTTTTTTTTCATGACATCCTCCTGTCAAATGACATTGGATATGATGCATTTTGTTTTGTTGGACCCGACTCCAGTGCTCGTTACGTTGGACCACAATATTCGGTTGGCATCCTATTTGAAAGACAGTACTTTGGTTGCTCTGAGTCCACCTCTGCCCCACTGTCATATGGTGTTCCACAGGGTTCCATTTTAGGGCCGTGCTGTTCTCATTGTATCTGTTGCCACCGGGTTCCATCTTAACAGAGCATGGTATTTCTACATTTTAGAGTTCATTTTAAGATTCGTTTAGTTGTATTTCAATCTCTCAATGGTCTCACGGCACCTTACTGCACCTCTCTGGAGGTACCAAGGACTAAGCGGAGGCTCAGCGGGGATCTAGCTTTTTCTGTTGCCGTTCCCTTTCTTTGGAATGATCTCCCGCTTAACATTAGGCAAGCCCCCTCTGTGTCCACTTTTAAAACTTGTCTTAAAACAAATTTTTATTCCATGGCTTTTGACTCAGTAAGAGGCCTCACGTGGTGTTTTTATGTTATTAATTTATTGTTTTTAACTGTTTTTGAATGTCTGATTTTTACTCCATGTATAGCAATTTGTATGCCACAATGGTTGTTTTCAGGGTGTTTTGAGATATCAACGCTGTGTGCAAGTTTGGAAAGTAGCTGTCCACTTAAACTTTCAGCTGTTTGTACTGAGCTGTGAGAAGGGTTTACTGTACATAAGCAATAGCAATTGTAAAAACAAAGAGGAAGACCATGGCACTTTAGCTAAATCCTTGAAACAAAGACAATACTGTTTGATTAGTGAGGATAAGCGATTTAATTGGCTTTTTTTTTTTTATTCTTGACTGATAACCTTGGATGTCATCAACATCATACAAACCACCCTTCACTCTTTGGGAGGACTTAATATTTGATCTTGGTTCAATATGTTGCTTTTGTGGAAAAATGTTCAGGTATTTATTTGCACCTTTCGGCATTTGTTTGTCATCAGTCGGCAACCTCTGTTTTTGTACCTCATTTGTCCGGTAGATCTGCAGTCAGCATCCCATTGATGTCATTAATTTTGATTGGCTATCTCTGTCAAATCTGTAAATCTCTATATTAAAACATCACCCCTGTGTTTCTAGTGTTCCAAGAGAAACCAGAGCTCCCTCCCACACAGGCCCAGGCCCAGGCCCGGTGCATCCCTCCAGAGAGCTATTCCTATCTGGCCTCAATTTGGAGGCTGCTGCGCAACAAGCCCTTCATGCTGCTTGTGGTCAGTTATGGTGGGTCCCTGTCCTCCACATATTAGACGTGCTTAAAAGACAATTATTGGTGCAGTTTTTAATGGAACTTCCATGTGTCGTAGATTTCACTCACATCTGCAACTCATGAGTAGAGCCGGGTTATCTGCGCTATTGTTTGATGCCAACAAGCAAAACATGCAACTCAACTTTTTTGAATCTGCGCCATGTTTCACATAGAAAATGACAGTCCAAATCTTCATATACTACAATGTCAGTCAATTCGGTGCAGCAAATGTCCTCCACACAGTTGTATGCCTACAAATGTTCTCTTATAGAGTTGAGTTGTTTTAGAGTGGAAAACACACATGGCATACAGAGTATGTTGTCATCACCGCACTTTAATGAGTATATATGAAATGGTGCTGTAAAAGCCTGACTACAGATGATACAAGCATCACAATCATTTATCAGTTGGTGTATTGTAATAAACGTCTACTTCTGGGCATGTGTATCTTAAATCTATAGTTATGAGGGGACATTGCATGCAGACTCTATCTACATCATAGAAGAATGAGCATATCATCCAGTGTGAACGATGTGTCAGTACAAACAAAAAATATTTTTGTCTTTATTCGCAGGACTAAATGTTGGCTGCTTTTACGCTGTGTCCACGCTTCTGAACCGAATGATCATTGAACGCTATCCAGTGAGTCTCTTGCTACTGCCGTCATATATGCTTGGTTTCAGGGCAATAAAGTTTTCAGTTACTGTTCTGTGCTTTTGTTTTGCCCATGTTGTGTCACATGATGCTCTGCTTTAGACTCTTGATACCTATAAAAGTGCCAGCGGATGACCTTGATAGAATGGTAGCTGAGACTGCTGTTATCTCACCTGAGAGCCCTTTAGCCAAGTTAATGCAGATTGCAAAATGTAACTAATGTCTGAAAAAACGATTTGCTTCGTAGGGTGAAGAAGTGAATGCAGGTCGGATTGGGCTGACCATTGTCATTGCAGGCATGGTGGGATCGCTCATCTGTGGAATTTGGCTGGACAAGACTAAAACTTACAAGTAGGTTCTCTGAAATGTTTACTATTGCAAGTATGCATTCAGTTGTATGACCAAGTTGCACATGTATTATGTACTCGTCAAGTTCTTGGCTTTCCGACTTTGCAAAACAAAACACAATTCAGTCTATTTCTACATTTGTTATGGTTAAACCTTTTTTAATCAAGTGCAATTCACGTTCGCAGTTTTGCCTCTGCTTGGTGCCACCCGCAGATACTGTATGCTGTTAAGACGTGACATAAGTCAACCGGAAAAGCCCTCTCTTCCTTTACAGTTTCTGTAAATTGGGATGAGAAAAAAGTTCAATTAATGTAAATGTCGTAGTTGAACAGTGGTAGTAGTTAGTTCATTTGCCTGCAGTCTCCTTCCGTGGATGTCTAGAATTTTGTCATCGCAAGGAGCTGAGCTAGGGAAGGCCTGTGCAAAGTGGAACTGAAGGCTGAGTTTTTGTTCTGATGTCCAAGTCTGCTTATCTAAACTGACAGATGAGAAAAGCATGGTCCTCCCCTGTTTGTTCCCAGGTTGTGATTATTCCTGCACTAAAACTTGAAATTCTGTTTCACCAGTGGCCATCATTTTGATCTTCCTTCATCATTTTATCTCGAATGACTTGATAAATGCCTTGGATTCCTAACATGCCAATTGGATGCTCGGCTGTCAAAGCAGCCAGGTGCCAATCGCCATTGTTGACACTCCGCTGTTGTCTTGAAGTATGACAGAGGATGACGTTATGTTTATAAAACCAGTATTTTACGCGTGGTTGTACAAAAAACTGCTAGACCAGAATAAGCCTGTTTGTGCAGATGGCTCTTGCTTAGATAACGGCTCAATTCAGGATTTTTTTTTTTTTTTTTAGTCAGGCTTTGTCAGATTTTACAAGCGTTACCATGAAACAATGCACTTTAGATACAGTACTTACATTTGAAAAAAGACTAAGGTCATTTCTTTAAATGTTTTTTTGCAAGTATGCTGGAGGATTGAGAGTCTGAGCAGCTTTTGCCTAAAATTATAATCCTGTTCACAAGACTCAGATCTACATTTTTGTCCAATCTGATTAACCTGGGTTTTGAGAAAAAAGAATAATATTTGCAGCTTGGCTTTCTTAACACTAAATATTCCCTTTCCCCTCTCATCAGGCAGACCACACTGGCCGTTTATGTGCTCTCCCTGATTGGGATGCTTTTGTATGCCTCAACACTCAACCTGGGCCACCTGTGGGTGGTGTTTGTCACAGCTGGAATTTTCGGGTTGGTAATCATGACACAGCAAGCAAATGTCGAATATGTGGAAGTCGTCTAAATGTACATGACATGGAGCCACACACTGGCAACCACGCTTCCGTCAGCGTGCCCCAGGCCAGCTGTGGCTACAAAACATAGTTTACCGCCACCAGACTGTGAATGTGTGAATGCATGAATAATGGTTCCATTTTGAGTGCTTTGAATGTGTGCTAATGTGTGAGGACAGCAACAATAACACATGCGAGCCTCATTTTTAATTCTGTATATATTCTGATGCTTTACAGATGACAAACTGTCACCATAAGGTGTGATTTTTAAACTAAACATTTAAAGTTTAGTGATATTTACAGTAAATAGTCTACAAAAAAAACAACAGTGCAAACAATAAAGTAGGAGCAGAGCTCCTCCACTCACCTGATGATATCCACATGATCCAATTACAGATTTCTTTTAAAATTTGAATTTGTCATTATATTTTGATAGAAACTTTTATTGACTTCAAATTTCTTGGTTTTAGGGGACAGTTTTAACGTGAATGTGTTTCTGCAGCTTCTTCATGACTGGATACCTTCCTTTGGGCTTCGAGTTTGCAGTAGAGCTGACCTACCCAGAATCAGAAGGAACATCATCTGGTCTTCTCAACTGTTCAGCTCAGGTTGGCACAAGTTCATTCACTTGTGTGCAGCAAGTTAACTCGGGACAATTTCACCATATCACCAATCTGCTTTCAGATCTTTGGAATCATCTTCACCATCGCCCAGGGAAAGATTATTGACAGATGGGGCACTTTGGCAGGAAATATTTTTCTGTGTATATTCATTTTAATAGGAGCTATCATGACTGGTAAGGAAACATTTAGAAACATTGGCCAACACTGAATTAGGGAGAATTTAAATCTCCTTTTACAAGGCCACGTGATCACATATTCCAAAGGAATAAGGTTGCCATCTAGTGGTAGAATCAAAGTACTCATTCATCTCTTCTTTCTGCTTCAGTAGTATGTAGAAGAACATGTATGGATCTTCCATGTGTCACCAGAGAAAAATGTGTCCTCACTCTTTTGTCGGCATCACAGGATTCATTAAGTCAGAGCTCCGGAGGCAAAAGGCCAACCTACAGACTGCTGGGCAATCAGTCAGTGTGAGTATATCGTTGACGGCATCTCACGTCCTAGCATCTGATGCCGCCGTTGTGTTTTGTGCTGCAAAAAAGTGCTGCTGGTTGATTTGGGCTGCGGACCTGACACTACACTTCACTGCTGCAAGCATGAAGGCATGGACTTTCATGTAACTTTCTCAGCGCTTTGTCCGACCACTCTGCTACATTTTGCTCAAAGCTTACTTGACGTGCCAATTGGTTCAAAACTTGCGACAATGTTCTTTTTATATCTTCAAGTGGGAGCAAATGTAAGATCTCAGCATTGCCCCGTACCAATGGCCTCAGCATGAGAGGTCATCCTACCCGGAATGAAGCCTGCCCCTCTGCTCCACGTAGCAATCTTTTTTGTTTGTGTTTCACTGTAATATCATAAAAACCCAGCAAACGCCACAAATTAACTTGAATAAGAAGTCATCAGATGATTGTTGAATACAGAACATATTTATGATTCACTGCTCATAAATTTCACTATTTGCAGATTATTCAAAGTCTCATTTAAAGTATTTCAGTGAAACAGCAAACAAAATTGAAACACATTCTCTTCCATATTATCTTTGTAGTTCACAACACAATTTTTAAAATCAACTTCAACAATCTCCACCACAGGGGTCAACCTCCGGTGCTCGAGGGCCACGATCCTGCGTGTTTTTCATCTCTCCCTGCTGCAACACGCCTGATTCAAATGATCAGGATTGTTATCAGGCTCCTGCAGAGCTTGCTGATGTGATGATCATTTAAAACATGCAGGATATTGGCCCTCGAGGGCCAGACTTTCACAACTGTGATCTCTACCTTTCTTTTTAATGCCTCTTAAATGGAAATATAACAAAAATATAAAGGACCAGCAATCCTGCGCACACAGAGCTTTATTTGTTAGTTTCTGCTTGTGAAACAGTGGATTGAATACTTGAAACCAAACAAATGCTGGTAATTTCATACAACTGTACTGTTCAAGTGGACAGGCAGTACGCTATTTATCTGTGTGTGCAAGGGTTTTTGGGCTCAGATCTGTGCCACTGCTAGTGGGTTGCATGTCAAGTTCTTTTAGGCGCCTCTCAAAGACATGACACCCAAGCTATTATTCCAGCGTGCAGGCTCGGCGTCATCGGTTCAGGACTACGGGGGCACATCTTGCAGCAGCCCCCTGGCAGCAGCAGTTCTGATATAAACTTACAAGCTAAAAATCAAAACACCCGCCAAGGTAGGGACACCCTCTCTTAAATACTCCCCAACAACACTGATGCTATCCTATTGTCGATGAAAAACTCGCCAGTTGTCAACCACATTTCAATTTATGGTTGAGTAACTGCTTTCAATAATGTGTTTGCACCGTGTAACGTTCCATAACAAACTCGTCCAATCCTCCTGTCATGGAGCAGCAATTCACAATACTTTTCATGTGTCTACTTTAGTATATTTGTTGTGTTTATGAAGCCTTTCAGGGACAGCGGTTACTACAGGTTACAGGGTGCATGAAAGGGTTAAAGGTACAGTGGAAACTCCAACGTCGAACACATCAGAAGTCTTCCAGTTTGGAATTAAAAGGTTTCATTTATTATTGAACTCTAAGTATTGATCTTTGTTTTGTAATGCCACCCCAGAAAGAGGGGTACAGTAATGTAATACAGTACTGTATTAACGAGGCATCCAGACATTTTCCGTAGCACTCTGGTGAGCTTGAGTCAAACTCGTTAACCTAACGTGTGCTATTGGAATATGGGAGAAAGCTGAAGTATCTGGAGAAAACCAACACAAGCACGAGCAGAACTTGGAAACGCCAGATGTGCTAAACACAAGCAGGTACCGACCGTCACGGCTCACCTGTTTTCTGAGGTTGGTCATGTGACGTTTGCAAGCTGAACCCTGAGACACTGTTGTCATTTTCAGTCAACAGCAAGTGGCAAAATCGGCGACCCCTGAGATGTGGCCTATGGTCTTGCTTGATTCATATTGCACCACCGCAATATGAATCAGAATACCAGGTTTAGACGAGTGGGGCTGCATAGAACATATTGTCAAGAAAATCTTTGATTTGACTTACTCTTTAAATTACTGTGCATCATTTCCTGTTGGAATAATGGGTTGTGTTCAACTTTGGAGATTCCACTATTCACGTACTTCATATTTGGGAGCAGCATGTTGCCAAAAAATTCTATTATAAGGAGCACGGCATTGAAGCTCTGGTTGCTTTGGGTCGAGTTGCCCTTTCCAGTGGCTATTTTTAAAACTGCAGCAGTATAATAAGATAAGTTGGACTGGGTCGAACTGGTATGTCATGTTCGATTTCCTTTTTTTTAATGTTACATCATCACGATTTGTTGGAGTAAAAGACTCAGATCCTTTTTCAGGGTACGCAAATAGTGATTGGAGTGCATTTCTGTTTTACCAGGACATGAGCACTGTTCTAGAGGAAAGCCTTCCACCCCTGGAAATCCAGAAAGAAGAAAGTTTTAAGTCGGAACACAGGAAGAATTAGTCGCGATAGATTCTGCTTTGAAAGCTTTGGTGAAGATCAGTTGCTGTCCCAATTAAAAATACTGTGCGACTTTGTACCAGGAGGACATCACACCCACACACACACGCAGATCCCAAAACAAGCACAAGAAGTCAGTCATGCACAACACCAATGAAGTTCGAATCTCATATGTCGTTAACGTTCATTGTTTGGAGCTTAAATGTCAAGTGGAGTGTGAGCTTTTCATGTCCTCTTACCTCGAAGCTTTCAAACTAGTGCTCTCCTACTATGACTACTACTACTACAGTACTTCTGTCAATCACCAACATTGGAACTGTTTTAAATCTTTACTTTGCAAAAGCTTTTCTTTTAAGTACTGTTTTTAGAACATTAATGGGACTGTAATGCGTTTTCATGTCACGGCAGCTGGAAGATTTTATGCCTGTCATTCCAGATCACGCGGCAGTATTACCTCTGAATTCTACTGACTACAATAACAGTCGATGCTGTGCTTCTAATGTATACTTTGGAAAGACAGTTTTGTCCTCCCCCAGATCTGGCAGACATAAACTAAGGACTGACATCTGCGTCAATATGGAAAAAGAGGCGAATCGAATCGTTTATTTTGCACAAGAGAGACAGCAAATATTTTATTAATTAAAAACGTGCTTTGCTTGTAGACTCATTACAGAGAAACGCATAGTGTCCATAGTTTATGATCAACTTGTTTCACTTAATATGTTGTGACTTTTTGTGTTGTGGTTTCTCTTTTTTAAGAATGTTTTTGCTCTGAGGTGCTAAATTAACATTTTATGGAATTTTAGGACATTATACAAAGCTGTGAAGATTTCACACTCCTTGATATTTAAAACACATGAAATAAATTATTATTCTTGAGGACCTCATCTAACTTGACTGGAGTCTTGTGTTTTGTATGACACTAAAAGCTAACATGAACGAGGGAGCTCAGTGGAGCTTCTATTCTGCTGTAAAACGAATAAATACTGTGTTTTCCAATCTTAGGACATGTTGAGAGCATGAGAATTGATGTGTAGAGTTCTGGGAAAGGTTGATTCACTGTAGGAAATACTGTAAAATAACATCTGGGAAGCAGCGCACCACAATCAATCCAAACACGTCTGGTGGACTCTTGGACATGAGGACATTCAGTTCCGTTTCTTCTGCTGTGCTCGCACTTCCTCTGGAGTCTCTGGAAAGCACTGGAATCCAATCAGCATCGCTATGATTGAGAAACCTGGAAAAACAAATGCCGCAATTACTTCATGCTACAGGCTCGGTTTAACATTTGCAAACTGTCACGAGCAACAGAAGATATTCCCACCGGACAATACTCACTGGCCACAATAAGAGGTGCCATGACTCCGATGGTTAGAGGTGCAGTTTTGTAGACGAAGGCCTCAGACAGAAAATGACCCAGTGCCAGGACAAACGTCCACAAAGTGATATGATATAACCTGCCAGTGACACAATGTGGGAATGTAAAGTTGACCACTCAAACAAGGCATCGAAATGCAAGACTTAAGATATCTTACGTTCTGTTCTGTATATCAATGGCACAGGCACAGCGAATGATGGATGACAGTAATGTCCAAATACCAAATGTCCGAGCTTGAAGACCATTGACTGAATAAAAGAGTAGACAAATATACAGAGAGGGAAATCACTGTTAAATTTGTTCATTTGTTCAACTGCAAAGAAAGTAACACTCTACAATAGTTTATTTATTAAGATAAACAGTGACACACTGAGTTGACATGTAAATGACTCAAAGGGGAAATCAAATGAAAGCAATGTTGACCTAATTATCACCACCTTGAACTGCTGTGGTTGTGGTATGAAAAAAAGATGGGGTGTGTGAAACTGAAGAAATCAGTGTTTGGTTTGCGGAATTTGGTCAAAATGCATACGCTTCACCCTTAGGTCGTTGCATTATACTAGTTCACCACTAGATGACACTAAACTCTGCAAACTGTACCTTTAAGCTTTTTTTTTAATATACTTGGTATTTTAGACGGTCACTCCGAGCGGAAGCCCAAAACATTGAAGGATTTAGAGCGTTGTCAAGCAGAGTGTGCCCCCAAAAAGTGTTGATGGCAACAATGTTTCACCACCAAGTACTAACGTACATTTACGAGGACGATGAGATTAAATACTTATTTCACTGCGAATTGTATAACGTGTACGTGGCGTTTTTTACACACTACTTGTTTAGGTTGGTGAATAACATAAACAACAGAAACCCAATTTGCTCACCAAACTCAGGCGCGCCGGTGTAAAGCTTCTCCGACAGGAAGCTATGTTCTCTGAAGCTTTGCACGGTGTTTCCCATCGCAATGACGGACACCATCACGAGCCAGCTCCGCAGGACGTTTAGAAAGCGACTCATCTCCTCTGCAGCTCCTTTATTAGAGTAGAGTAATTAGAATCCATACAACGGCTTGTTTCTGGCCATGTTGCAAAGAGGCTGCTGGATGTGTTACCTGTCAAGTGTTGTAACTGAAGGGGTATCTGACAAATACTAATGTTGGTGTGCTGTGCACCTTAAACCAACAGGGTTAAATGGCATTAATACAGTATTGACATTTCCAAGCGGCGTCGGAAATCACTGTTAAATTTGTTCATTTGTTCAACTGCAAAGAAAGTAACACTCTACAATAGTTTATTTATTAAGATAAACAGTGACACACTGAGTTGACATGTAAATGACTCAAAGGGGAAATCAAATGAAAGCAATGTTGACCTAATTATCACCACCTTGAACTGCTGTGGTTGTGGTATGAAAAAAAGATGGGGTGTGTGAAACTGAAGAAATCAGTGTTTGGTTTGCGGAATTTGGTCAAAATGCATACGCTTCAACCTTAGGTCGTTGCATTATACTACTTCACCACTAGATGACACTAAACTCTGCAAACTGTACCTTTAAGCTTTTTTTTTTAATATACTTGGTATTTTAGACGGTCACTCCGAGCGGAAGCCCAAAACATTGAAGGATTTAGAGCGTTGTCAAGCAGAGTGTGCCCCCAAAAAGTGTTGATGGCAACAATGTTTCACCACCAAGTACTAACGTACATTTACGAGGACGATGAGATTAAATACTTATTTCACTGCGAATTGTATAACGTGTACGTGGCGTTTTTTACACACTACTTGTTTAGGTTGGTGAATAACATAAACAACAGAAACCCAATTTGCTCACCAAACTCAGGCGCGCCGGTGTAAAGCTTCTCCGACAGGAAGCTATGTTCTCTGAAGCTTTGCACGGTGTTTCCCATCGCAATGACGGACACCATCACGAGCCAGCTCCGCAGGACGTTTAGAAAGCGACTCATCTCCTCTGCAGCTCCTTTATTAGAGTAGAGTAATTAGAATCCATACAACGGCTTGTTTCTGGCCATGTTGCAAAGAGGCTGCTGGATGTGTTACCTGTCAAGTGTTGTAACTGAAGGGGTATCTGACAAATACTAATGTTGGTGTGCTGTGCACCTTAAACCAACAGGGTTAAATGGCATTAATACAGTATTGACATTTCCAAGCGGCGTCCATCAGACATAAACGTAACATGCTCTACAGGGAAAAACAAAACAATCCAAATGTGATTTTTCACGCGAAGACCAGGTGGTAGCCAATGACAAGCCTGACAAGAATGGCTCCATCCAGTCGTACCATCTATATGATTTGTCAGATTCAGCCTTTTGGTTCCGCCCATTTTTATTTTTAACCAATCGTATTTAAGGAATTAATGGTCACGCGTGGGGTTGGTCGTGTTAAACAAAGAGTTACTATGAAGAACAAGATAGTGCTTGGATGATACATTTATTATAGTGAAGTGGACTACTTTTATCGGAAAGTAACGTTATATGCGTTAGGTGTATCATCCTGTAAAAAATAAACACAATGTGGTTTCTTACTAGTTTTATTATTTTTCAACATTATGTTACATTCTCATTAGTCTTGAGTTTTATCACACCCACCCAAAAACGTTATTGGTGGAAGTAAAATAAATCCCACAGGAAATCTGATAATGCGCATGCGTTGTCCAGTGTCACTACGTAGTTGTTGTAGTAACAAGGAAGATTAGCGGCGATGCTCAATTCTCTCGGCACAACTAAGCTTGTTAGCTTTTTCAGCCACCCTGAAATAAAGGCAAGTGAATTTTTTTGTGTCCCCCCCCCCCTCTACTACAACACGTTGCATGTATTATCAGTATTTTTTTCCTTTAACTCACAACGCACACAACTATCAATTGTTTTGTTTTCTTTATTTGGTTGCTTGTCAATTACAAGTAGCTAACATTTGTTCGGCTGTCTTGGTTTAATATTTGTAAAGACACGTACCGAAATGGCAAACTATTTTACATGTAGAGCTACAAAGCATCTCTTATGGTATGTTCGTTCTTATTGGAGTGGCATCCTTATTGGATTCAGAGATGATACAAATAAATAAATACGTAAATCAACAACATTGTACTTATCTTGGTTTGCCTCAGGAGGGAGCTACAATGGCACTAACCTGATCCCAGGAGGATTTCAGGTGTCTCTCCCTCTCTGGAAATGCCCGCCGTTGCCCCGGATAAAGAGGAGTCCGATTCCTCCTCTGAGGACGAACATGAGTGAGTTCTTAGTCGTTTGTACCTCCTGTCTTGTCCAAATGTATGTCATCCATCCACACACAACAAACACGCTTGGTCCTCTTGACACAGACACAGTCACACATTTAATCCCTGAAGCACAATTATCGGTGCCCTGACTGCGAGTTGAATTTGTTTGTTGAGCACGCTCGTATCTGCAAGGTTTTTTTTCCCCCCCAGTGAAATAAATGGAGTCCCACATTGTACCCCATCTGTTGTGCGTCCCTCCGCCACCGGGGGCATTATATTGCAGACATACAGATAGACAAGAAGATGAGTTACACCACAGTCTCTTGATAACGGGCTTAATTGCTGTTTTCATAGGTGAACAATTATGGAGGTTCGCGATCCGAATCTCGTGTCTCTGTGTGGAATTTGCATGTTGTGCTTCGTCTGAAAACATGCGTGCATACTTAATAGTTGGGTTTGTAGGTGAATGGTTGTTTGTCTATATGTGCCCTGTGATTATCTATTACCAGTCCAGTGTGTACCCCACCTCTTGCTCAAAAGTCAGCTGGGTAAGGCTCCCGTTCACCCTTGATCCTAATGAGGATTTGTGTGTTTTAAATAATAGACAGATGGATGTTGCTGGGAAACTACACTCGTAACTGTTGGGACTGTACGATGAAAAGGATGACAAAAGGTGTACAGTATAGTGTAAAAAGGTGCCTAGTAGACACACTTTGAGTACGTACACATATGTACCGAATTAAAAGTGTGTAACAACCGAAGAACATGCACAACTTCTGCAGCATGAACACAACAACAAGATGAGGTAGTGTTTAACTTAGCAATTGGTTTCTTCCCTTTCTGTCTTACGCTTCAGACACATTGCGAGCACATAACATTTCACTCGTCTTAATCATTGTTTTCTCCAAAGTAAACAATGGTGAAGATGATATCTGCTCAATTGTGTCTCAATCCTGGATACCTAAACTGGGGGCAGCAATTATTTACATGCCTCCCAGCCTTATCAGGAGCAGCCATGGCTGATTGAGTTCTTCCACAACAACATGCTCTCTTATCATATTGTCAGCGTGATAAGCAAGCTGTGTCTGGTGCACTCAAATAGCATAAGATCATTTGTTAGTACAGTATGTGGGTTTTGCTCTGGTCCAGCTCCCGCTCATGGTAAAATTAAGGAAATCTGACTTCCATGGTGACTCATCGAAATGTTTTTTTTTTGTTTCTTTTGAATGATTAGAGACCATCCCTGCATTGCCTGGAGTGGCCTCAGCAGGACAATCCCAATCTTCATATTTTTCCCTGAAGCCATTGTTTCAAAGGATGGATCTATCTATGCTGGTGGAGGTACTTGGAAAAAATTATATTTACTCTAAATTCCGAATTGATTGTTAAAAAGACTATAATCTACTATATCGGTTCTGTGACACTGGTTGGTTTCCCAGTTGTTGTAATTGCAAAACAATGTTTCTATAAGATACTGCACAATATCACGTAAAGTACTTTTTTCCTCCTTAACACTTTGCTACCATCAAATCTTTACCAAGTCTTTATTTATAGTTCATCTGCTTTTTATGTGAAGTAACATATGAACATTTTGACCGTCATACATATATAACAAGTATGCTGTATCATAAAACTACTAAAATTAAGTACAACTACTCACAAAAGATTTCGGATTTCAATAGAGAGAGAGAGTCAGAAGATGTTTACATGGTATAATTTCACCAAGAAGCATTTTAAAATGTCTTGCTGGAATGGAAAAAAAAAAGAACAAAAAAAAAACAGAAGAAGTAAATTTATCTTTATTCCTTGGTGCCACTGTCAGTGAACAGAGGTCTTCTGAAATTGACATGTTTCATGTGACATCATCCATGATGGCGTTATCACCATCTCGCTTTGTTGATTGAGGCCTTCTTTTCGTGGAATTACAAATTGCACAATATTGGCGGTGTGTTGGAGATTTCCACGTGCATTAAATAACGATCTGTTTCATTTTTCTAGAGCGATACAACATGGCCTTCAAGATCGTGCGCACAGAGAGTCGCCTGGTGCGGGGGATCCTGACCAATCATGGTTTCCATGAGGTAATCTTCTCCACAAAATGAGACGAATGTAAAAGGTTAGCTTCAAAATGACCATTTACGCTATTTATGTGAACCGCCTTTGTGTAGGATAGAACAGGGCTGCCCCCCACCCAAATAATAACGATGTCAAAGCCTGGGAACGCAAGCATGGAAAGAACCAAAATGACCTCAAGAGCATTAATCTGCTTTCACAAGGCCATACAATCCCCATTATTGCTTCTTCCAAGCAGTTACAATTAATTCTCTTTTTATTTCATTTCAATGCTTCTTGACTCCCAGAAACCCATCATCAAAGGCAGACGAGTGTCTACCACAGTGAATGGCCAGAGCCAGACTTTAATAAGGCTTTATTGCAAACATCTGTCTCCTCTAGACATCGAGCACTTCATGTGAACACAGCCTCCATCCTAATGAATGGCTGGAATCAAGCAAAACAGATTAAGATAATGAGTATGTGACTTAGCAATCATTTTGTCATAATTTCATTCGAGCGCGGTGGATTTCTCCAGTGAGGCTGCCTCTCATGCACTACCAAGCCGCATGTTTCCTCGATGACGTTGTTGTTCATGCGCATCTTTTGCAATGTTCAGTGTTGTGGCGGTGCGAAAGTCAGATGTTAGTCAGGTGCACACTCATCAAATTTACTCCCTGCCAAGTCCCGAGTCTGCTCATTGGAAAAATATTATGTTTTTTAAAAAAAAAATTTTTTTTTAGGTTCACTCAAATAGCAACGACTTCAACCTCATGTGGACTGGATCCCACCTGAAACCTTACCTACTGCAAAACCTTCAAGATTTCCAAAAGGTCAACCACTTTCCTAGGTGGGAGAAAATTCAGCGCTTTGACTGGTTCATTCTTGATATGATCTTTCTTATTTAAATCCAATGAAAACAACCATTTCACACAGAAACGGAGGAACCTCCCGACTCAAACAAAATCCATTTCGTGACACCGGTTGACTTACAATTTCAAAATGAATACTCTGATTGGAAATAATCTCAAATCAGAGCTTCAGACTACCCCTAAATGGTGGGCTTTAGCACCTAAAATTTGAGACAAATTAAAGAAATGTTTGAAAATGTGCTCATTTTCTGAGCACATTTTGACTTACATTTTACATTTTGACTGTGCTAAAGTCAAGTCCCGGGGGCCACATTTGGCCCCCGGGACTTGAGACACCTGCTAAAGTCTCAAGAGATTTGCGTGACATCGCTCCATCAGGCAGGACATTTGAACTCCAAATTTTGTTTGATTTTTGAGTCGTGTTTCCTCAAATTTTGGCTCAACTTGGTTGAAACTTTTCTACTGCACATACCAGTAATTTTATTGGCTATGGATTCTACATTTGTATTTGCATAGAAATGAATTGAGACTTTTACAATGCTTATCTTGTTCCAACCCTTTCCCTTTCAAATTTTTTTTGTCCTTTGATGATAAACGTACCTCTTTTGCTATTAATATTTGTGACTGATGCGACTGGATAGCAAAATAACTTTCAAACTCACCACAAGCTCCTGCTGGCGTTTCTCACGTTCCTGTACTAGCCATATTTATCTGCCATGTCCATTTGCAGATCGTATGAACTGACCCGCAAAGATCGGCTTTATAAAAACATCCAACGAATGCAGGAGGGCCATGGCTTCAAAAACTTCCACATAGTTCCACAGACCTTTGTGCTCCCGTTGGAATACCAACAATTCTGCAGTAAGTGGCTGCTTTTCCAAGTATAGAGCCCGTTTCCGTCCGTTCTTCACTGACAGTGTACAGCTAAGAAAATTAGCTACACCTGCACATTCTAATCCCGTATTGTCTTTGACTTCCTGCTCGCATCTCAGGTAGTTATGCCCAGGACAAGGGCCCGTGGATTATTAAACCAGTTGCATCTTCAAGAGGACGAGGCATCTACTTAGTCAGCAATGTGAGTAATTGT